GTCAGCTGGTAGAAACATCCCCCGCCCCCACAAGATGCTGACTGAGGCTGGTGACATCCGAGCTGGGCAATGATGCCCCCAGTGCGTCCCCTCGGCACTCCAGGACCCATCCTTCCTGCATGCGATCCAGCACTGACAGATGCTGTCATAGTTTCTGGTCTCAACAATGGTCACAAGGCAAACAAGAGTAACGCCATCCCAGTGGTGAGGACGTGCCTTCCCAGGGCTGCGGACACGCCGCCTTACCTGAGGTGATAGTGACGGTCCTCAGACAGCACTTGTGCCTAAGACGGTCTCGCTCACCCCATTAGCTTAGTCCCCTAGCAAAGCTCAACTAGTTATGGGAGGAGGAAGAGAGACAAAGAGACAGGCATGCACGGGCCGAAGTGCTGGGACGAGTTCCTCCAGGGACGAGGCAGGGGGCTGGGTGGGCGTGTTACGGCTACTATTTCCCATATGCCCAGCATTGACCTCAGAGAATATTTTAACTTTCTAGCCCCTCTTACGTGCACCTATGCCCCACTTTTTTTTTTCAATCAACGGGCAGCACAAACTGTCCATACCAACTCTGCACGCCTACCTGATTAATATATTCCTTGGTCTTGAAATCTAACTGGTTTTAAACGACGTAAGAAAGGAAATTGCCAAAGCTGGCCAAGGACACTGAAAAAACAGGCTGCAGCTCCCTTCCCACCATGGATGGTCCAGGACGACCACAGATGGTAAAGCACTAATCCGTCCTGACTCTTTTACCCCCCGCTCAGGTATGAAAGGTACATGTAGTTGGAGGGGAAAACACATACACAGTAAAGGTGTTATCGCATCGCTTAGCTTTTGTATCAATTTATGAGTCCTGTTAACAAATACTCTTTAAAAAGAAATTTGGGTTCACTAACATTCAATATAATTGGTTTCCTAATATGGCCAAGAAGAGATTGGTATGGTAAAAACACAACGCACTGTAACATCAGTGTTCCCTGCATTTATGCTCAGAGTTCAGGACACACACACAGATCCCAAATTAGAGAGCTGAAGAAAATAAAAGAACAGAATAATGGGGGAAAACAAGAAAACCTAACCGACCTCTCCTAATTACACCGTTTATACTCAAATCATGAAGGACTGAGAAATTTCAGAGTATGTGTCAGAACCACCACAATGATTACGTATATACACAAACATACACAAGATGAACAAGAGAAAACCTTCTTCTTCCACTATTTTACATAGAAGGTTCTGGTTCTGATGGTCTCGGGCGGCGTCTGTGTGCCGGGAGGAGGTACGGATGGATCAATAAACAACACTACAAGTGCAGATTTCTGCCCAGAAGGAGCAGGATGCGAACGTACCACCATAAAAACGGGTGTTGGGAATCACTGATACGAAAACTGTTCAGCTCATGAATTAAAAAAAATCTCACCAACATTAAATAAATAAATGAAAAGGCCGGTACGTCTAAGCAGAAGTGATGCTACCCATTTACTGCTTGAAGCCAGCACTCTGGCAAGTAGGAGACAAAATGATTATTTAAAAGCTCCTTTTTATCTCCGTGGCACCATGCAAGTCTCAGATGAACCTTTCGCCAGGACACCAGAGATGTTAACACTCGTCCTCCAAGATCCAATTTCAACCGGCGGAGCTGTTACCTAATCCAGCAACCATCACATATGATCAGGTTCCGGCTCCCCTGATGAGCGCCCTGCGTCCTCCCCCGCCCCCTCCCCTCTCTGCTCCCTGGCCCAACAGCTTTTACTAAAACAGGGTTTCAAGAGAAAAATCTCCCATTTATGCCAGTGAATACAGGGTTTTAATGGTCAGGTCTGTGTCCTTCTGCTGCCAAAAATGCCATCACCCGGAGAGGGTCTCCCCTACAGGATATTTAACCCTTTCGGTAATCATTCTTAAAAAAGAGTTCCCTTCTCCCAGATCTACCCTCTCATGTAAGAGACAGGTCAAGACAGGTAAGTGATTTATACAGAAATTGTCACACGCCCTTTGAAAAGGATGTCACGTCCACCTTGC